GGTTCTAAAATTGAGAGGAGGAGGTTTCCAATAGCTTTGTGCCCTGGGCAAGATGCCAAGGAAGAACCAGGTGCCTGCTCCTTCTGGGAGGCAGGAAGGAGAGGTAGGGAGAGGCCGATGGAGCCAAAAGTGAAAGAACACACACACACACACACACACACACACACACACACACACATGAGTGTGCTTACACGCACATGCACAGTCTGAGCTCACAGAAGCATTTAATTACATCTAATGGGTACATGTGGATTTATTATGCTACAATTTATGGAAAGCACCATTTTTAATTAAACAAGTAGCCTAGAGCATGGGAACAAGGAAAAATATTTTTCCAATGTGCAGCTGGACCTCAGCAAAATTCAGCTCCTTATTCATATTAGGTCCAATAAGACAATGTGTGAAATCTACCATCATCCACTCTCCTATCACCTACAAGAAAACCTTTGCTGATATTGGATAACACATTTTTAGGGTGATTGTCTCTGAACACCATGAATTGGCTCCATATTCCTAATCTCCATTACCCACATAATCAGAGACAAATCAGAGAAAGATTTGTCCCAGCGAAAGAGAACTAAGTTCCACATGTATTCATGAGGCTAGAGATGGTGAAAGTGATCAGATGGCCACGTGATAACAATTCCAGACACAGTAGTACAAGCTCCCCCTTCCACTGCTCTCTCCACAATTGCCTTATTACTTAGACTACATGGCTTCTGAATCTTCTAGTGGCTGCATGTCCGCAGCGCCCACAGAATCCAGAGAACAGAGGTGTAGGTATTGCCATAACACAGAAGGCATAATAAACATCCCAGGAAAATGTGGCCGGAAATAAAGGTGTGGGGACAAGATTTATTAATCACCTCCCATCCCAATAGCCCTGACAGTAGTCCTTTTTGTTGATATAAACACATCCCTTTTACTAGTAAGGAAACTGAGGCCAGCAAGGGCAGGTGCAACTTGGTTGCCTGCCCCTAACACACTTCCTGTTTCTCCTAAGTGATACCCTCTACCAAGAAATCCCAGGCTGCACGTTTGCTAATCTTGCAAAGCTGAGGGGCAGCTCTCTTGGAAAGAAAACAGCACGTTGGAGCCAGACAGGACTTCAGGGGCTCCACCTCAGGCTGCCTGAACCCCGAAGGCCCACTCCTGCCTCGCCCTCCCCATTGCACTGTACCTGAGGAACTTGTTGAGGTCCCCGTGCTTCATGTACTCAAAGACCATGATGAGCGGGTCGCCCTCCACGCAGACACCGTAGAACTTGACAATGTGTTCGTGCTGGAGGTTGGTCAGCAGCTCGGCCTCTCGGTGGAAGTCCTTGCGCGCATTGTCACTGGCGTCCTTCAGCGTCTGGGGTGAGGGGCAGAGAGGGGAGGAAACCAGCATACCTTAGAGGGAGGGTGTCAAAGGGAAGGCTGCCTGGAGAAGGCATTATTTCAGTGGGGCCTGAGCTTCCTGATGGGAAGGAAATTCTACTCATTTATTCCATGAAAGATTGGAAAATGGCCTAAATTCTGAGCAAATGTTTGTGTTAACTTAACCTTTTGAGGAGAAGCCCCTCAAGGGTCTGCAGAACTCCACAGTTGATGGAGCACCAGCACAGATGTTACTTCATTAAGTTATGGACACGAGCCTGTAGTCTTCATCCCTTTTAACCCTGGTCTGAGCTCAACTACAGACTTCACTCCCATTTCGGTGCCTGTTGCCCTTTGTAGGATGCTATGGCACTTCACCTCTGCTCATGTAACCTTTATAAAACTTAATTATGGAAATATGCAGTAGAGAGAAGAGCATAGTAAGCTCTCATGGACCCACTTCCCAACTTTCACAGTGACCATTTTGCTGGTTTTATCACGGACACTCTAAAAAGCCTTCTCCCACTCGTGCCCCACACACTGTTGGCTCAGGAAACGCCCCTGCCAGCAGGCCAGTCACACTGCCAAGACGGAGTTGCACAGGATCCTGCCAGCCAGGCTCTGGGGACTTTTGTTCTTGGCTCAGATTACTCAGACACCATCGTCTAATAGCAGGGCAAAGCTGGCATTTGTTGATGTCACACACATGTGCTGAGTTCTTCCTCTGTGCCAGTCACTGAGCCAGACCTGTGGTGGCATCAAGAAGACAGGGACCCAAATCCTGACCTCAGGTGCTCATATGGAAATAGGGAGATAAGTCACATATGTAATTAAGTGTAAGTCAAGCTTAAAATACAATGTCCTAAATGATCCAGCAACCCTGCATCTCTGTCCAGCTTGATCTCTTCTTGACATGCCTCTCTTGAAACTTATGCTTCCACCTTATGAATTACCTGGAGATGCCCCAGTGACACCGGACCACACCTCCTTGTCCTTGCACACGTTCAATCCTCTGCCTGGAATGTTGATTCGGGCATGTCACTGGTATAGGAGGTTGCATAATGCCTCCCTGAAGGTGTCTACATCTTAATCCCTGAAACATGGGAATATGTCACTTTACATGGGGAAGATTATCCTAGATTATCAGAGGGGGCCAATGTCATCCCAAACAAGGGGACTTACAAGGGAGGGGCAGGAAGATCAAGAAGAGATGCTGTGCTGCTGGCTTTGAAGATGGAAGAAGAGGCTACAAGCCAAAAAATCTGGGCAGCCTCTAAAGGCTGGAAGAGGCAAGGAAACAAATTCTATCCTACAACTTACAGAAGGATCCAGCCTTGTTGACATCTTGTCTTTAGCTTAGTAAAACTGGCTTTCGGTGTCTGACCACTAGAATTATGAGAGAAAATTTGTGTTGTTTTAAGCCCCTGAGTTTGTAATAATTTGTTACAGCAGCAATAGGAAACCAATACACCTGGTTAACAACTGGCAGTGCTCCAGGACTGGGCTCAGACCTCACCTTTCTGAGAAGTGTTCCCTGACCCTCTCATTGGTGTTACAATCCCTGTTATAACCTGCTCCCAGGCTAGGTTGAATGACCCTCATAGGTATACCCCATACTTAATTTCTGTCATATCACTGGCCACAGTACATTCTAAGTGCATGTTTACTTGCTTCTCTCTGGAAGAGATGGTGAACTCCTTGGCCCAGGGATGGTGCCTTCCATGTCTGCATTGCCAGCACTGGGCATAGTGCCAGGCACATGGCAAGTATTCAGCAGACAAGACATTTCCTAGGCATGCTCTTAGGATTAATACCTGTGGGAAAAATTGGGCAGAAGGTGAAGCTGAGCTATGATATAGTCTCAACAAAGCTTATCTGGCCCCAAAGGATGACCCTTCAGAGTTTTCCTGAGTTGGGCCAATACTGCTGAGCCATTATAACTCCTTATCAATCAGTCATAAGATGGGAGCCACTCTAGGAAGGGAGTGTGACCATGAGAGGATTTGCTGAGCCCTCACAGGAAACTGGCTATTGAGGACTGTCTGTTGCAGGTGGTTCATCATTGAGTCACCACAGGATGAGTTGCAATATGCTATTTACCATGCCTGGGGCACCCATCAATAGGCAGGGTGTGCCTCACATCAGCCGCATGGAAACACTAGGATGTCAGGGATAGCAGCAAGATTACAAAGTCTTTTCTGCTATCATCTTCACAGAATTGAGCATTTTCACTAACTCCTTTGGCAGGATTTGAAGCTTTCTCCCCAGTGGTGACCAGCCCAAGGCAATAGAGCAGCAGGGCTCCTGATCCTGCCACCATTTCCCTCCTGAAAGCCCCTGAACCCTGCGATGTTTTCTAAGATAACAATGTTTTCTCAGACTGCTCTGAGTCACTGAGAGAGCTTACTTGTAAAGCCTTGTGTCTTTAGCAGTGAGATACAGAAGGTGACTGAACCCATTTAGACCATTATCACAGGGCATGAACAAACTCTACATGTAATCTTCTCAAGTTTTAGCTATGTAGTGGTGATTCAAATGCTGAAGTGTGTGTGTGTGTGTGTGTGTGTGTGAGTGAGTGAGAGAGAGAGAGGCCAGGTGGGTGTGTGTGAGAGAGAGAGAGAGAGAGAGAGAGAGAGAGAGAGAGAGAGAGAGGGGTAGACTGGGAGAGTAGACAGAATTTTCCTTGTGGGGGAGGCACCAAATTGACAGAGTTAACAAGCATCTAATATTTCCATTTCCCAAAAGCAAACTACTATGAGAAGAGTCTTACTTCAATTTCAAAAGCTGTGCTTCAGTAACATTTTCAGATTTAAGAGAGAAGATTTCACTATTCATGGGGCAAATGCATCTCACAAACTTGGCTTCATCCCATGTGCCCATCCATTTTTGCATGCTGGATCCTTTCTCTAAATTATGATTCAATTCTATTTTAAGAGATTCAGAAAATATGGCGGCACCGACTTGGGCAAAATCATCTTGTGAATTTGGCACTCTAAGGAAAGAATTTTTCTAAGGTGGAACCACAGCCAGACAGCAATCAGAAGTTGGAAAAATTCTGCTATCAGCCCTATTTATAAAAGTCATCTCTGTTTCAGTGCCATGCCTGATTGTCATTTTACTCAATTAAGGGAGCCTTGGCTGGTACTTGGAGTCCCTTGGAAATGGACATGAGGTGGCAGCCTCCCTCCCTGATAATTCTCTCCACTTAAGCTTCATTTTGACAGGCATGTTTGCCTCATCATTGATCATTACTGTTTTCTTACTTCGAGTGTCTGCCTTGTAACTTCATTTCTCTTTATTCCTCGTGAATTTCCTGAAACTCCAAAGCTGCCATCCTTTCTGAAGACAGTCTCAAGGGAGAGGTCTCATCCAGAGCTAAAGTGAGTTTACTGCCGGGAGTGCACATTGATTCAGAGTTGGAAGAATGGAGTAGTATGAAATTAACTTCAACACAGAACTGAGAAGTTACTGAAGTAAAATAGAAGAAAGGAAGATTAACTTTCATCTGAAATGCTTCAGCCAAATAAGAAAGCTAACAGGAAACTAGTAGAGGCAAGAGAGCTTATTTGAAATCATTGTGTTTCTGCATGTTGTAGGACATGAAAAATGATTATGCATTTCAAAATGTAGGTGGTTTAGGAGACACAAGTTAAAACAGAGATGGTGTCCTTTTCTTTTTAATGATCTTATGTTCTTCTCTAACACTTTTTAGAGATCATAAGACGAGTTAAGGAGAAAGACTTTTTTTTAAAAGAGATTATTATGGTAAGACCTCACTAAGCCTATGCCTACCACCATGCCTAAAACATAGATGTCAAGGAGTAAACTCCCAGATGAGGCAACCGAGATGCATGGGAATGTTAATATGCCTAAGTTCTTCTGGGTCAGGGCCATTGGGTCAAGACCTAGTGCTTCTGATATCTTCTAGAGCTGTACTGTCCAAAATGCAAACCAACAGCCACATGTGGTAAGTGATAATTTGAAATATGGCTGTCCAATTTGACAAGTTCTGTGAGTTAAAATACACACTGGATTTTGAAAACTTGGTATCAATAAAATATCTCATTAATATTTTATATTAATGTGTTGAAGTAACAATATTTAGATATGTTGGGTTAAATAAAATATATTCATAAAATTAGTTTTATCTGTTTTCCAATTTTATTGTGCATACTAAATTTTTTTTTAAAATACATACAAATATGGCTTGCATTTGTGGCTCACATTATATTATTTCTATTGGATAGAATCATTCTATAAAAGTCACCTCAGTAGGCTATTCATGCGTCAACCTGCTTCTTGGGAATGTTGGGAACCAATGTTAGACTGAAATAGAATTAAGGCAGATACCCTTCTTATAAGATTCTTAGAGGCAAGCAAAACTAACTATTTAGAGTGATAGTCACAATACTGTATGATTCTTTTAACTTTTGGGTCTCCTTTAACGAAAGGTAGAGGAAGCTTCTTACAGATTCTTATAAAAGTAAACCTTGGAAGAGTATCTAATCTAATAATAAACAAACATGGTAATTGACCATACCTCCGCTATGCTTCCCATTGGCTAATCAGCAGGATATGCAAATTAACCTAACCAAGATGGTGGCCGGCAGCCATACAGCTGAAGCAAGCAGGAGGCTTGCTTGCTCTAGTGATGGAGGAAGCCAAGCTTCTTCCCTGCTGTGGCTGGGCTCTGAGCTCCACTCTAAGCAATAAAGTTGCAATTATAGAAGCTAAACAAAACCCAGATACCTGCTTTCAGCCGTCAGAGCTGGAGCGAGCAGTACTGAAACAATGTTGCAATTATAGAACCCAAACAAACCCTAGATTCCTGCTTTCAGCAGCGGAGGCCTCAAGCTG